GTTTTCGTGAATTTTTGTCTTGCTCTAGTTATCAGCTAAGACGTTGATTGGCATAATCTTCAGTTGCACGTTAAATACATTTTTTACTGTTTATTCATGCAGAGCGTTGTCATTACTTCGCAGTATATAGTACTGAATTGTGGACAAATGGATGACCAAATAAAAATTGTGAAGCCTTAATAAATCAAAGATACTGGCCCAACTTGACATTCGGATACTCGAAAATATGATAACCGAGATTACCTTGAGTTAATGTTTTAGACAATTTCTATAATATGATGATAAAGAGCAGTGTGCTCACGGATAATAATAATGCAAGATTTGATAAAGGTAAGCTTTATTTCCGGGAAATTGGTTTTATTTGATAGCTTTTGAAATCGTGGGCTCAGGCAGCTTATCACGTCTGTTAAATTTTATAATCTAATCTTCTGTTCTTCTAATCTTCGAGATAAGGACGACGCTTGACTCAATTACATTTATGCTATTAAAAAATGTTAAAACTTCTGAACGATATAATATACTTCATACTATTTCACAAAACGAATACGTGCTCTTTTTGTGCTCGCGACGTATACTAACTACGTGCGCCAGCTAACGACTATGTGTAGGAAACTTGAGAAATAATTTCATATTTAAAATAATTTCATATCTTACGTAGCCCGAAACACAATGCGGGCAGTTTGATTGCTAGATCAAATATAAATAAGGCCATAAAAAGTTTGATGATGAAAAATTTATTCTTTTATTATATTTGGATTTGGCACGTTGAAGGTTTTCTTTATGGCTCACTTTAGGTCGAGAGGCCGCCTTATTACTTTTCAAGTCATCAAAGAAATGGTGTTGAGCTAACTGCTGATGACCAACCAGGTAGAGTCATAGTTCGGCCTTTGCCTGTCACGCCTTAAATATTTAGAAAAGAATAGAGAAAATCATTTCGGTTTAAATTAACTCGGTACTACATTTGGAAACAACAACACATTGTTAATACAAAGAACGGCTTCCACTGTAATATTTTTCCGAAATATTCACAGTTTGTATTGTTATCGAGGGTTTCATATTCAAGTATTGCCTAAAAAAAGGCATTCGGAGGGTTAAGGGTATTCACCCATTTAACGTTATATGTAAACAACCGTCCGAATAATCTTTTATCAAATGAACAATGGTATCACAAACGGTACCAACTCTATTTCGACAGGATAGTGATGTTATATGGGCATTACGATTAAAAGGATAATCTTTAGTATAAGTTAACGACCGTTAAAGCAGTACGGTGACATGAAATGAATGCCTGCTGTATAAGAAAAAATGTTTCTAGTCAGCTGATACGTTATCTGTAGTGCCTTAACGAATGATTTACACAATCGTAAAGTTTAATATATGAATTTTCATTGCTATATTACACTACATTCCAATATATTGGTTGTTTACATCCATCGATTCTGATATCGTTTATAGCGCTCACAAATATTACTTCGAAACATTTAAATTCATAAATTTTCAATAATAATCCTTGAACATATCAGCAAATTCCCTCATTTCCCTTCATCCTAATTCTCAACAAAGGCGCACAGTAAATTATTCTCTGAATAATGTCCTATGGTGGAGTCTGAACGTCTCGTCCACATCCCAGTGAAAATTTACAGACGCGGCAGCTTCTGATTTGGGTTCCCAGAAGCTGGGGCGACTCTAAATTTTGTTAGGGTGCAGCACGCTGGTGCGCAGCATTGGTCATCCCTTTGGCACGTCGTCCCCGCTCCCCGCCACTGCAGCCACTACAGGACAGTGATGCGTATCTTGAGCGCATCCGTTGAACAAGTTATGTGGAACGGCAGGCAACAGAATTTGCAGACCGTCGTCGTTTCCTTTGAGTTTGAACCTTCCGCAGCCAGAATTGAGTTGTCACAAAGTAGAATTCAGTTGTCACAAAATTTACACTTCAATAGAAATAGACCGAAATTTCTACCTCATTCTCCCATTAAGAGCGCAGCCGTTGGCCACGAAGTTAATATCTTATAATGAACACTGCAAAGCTACAAGATCGCCCTTCAGTAATCGCCTCGTGCAATGTTGGACAAAACTTGATACGAAATTTGGAAATTGCGAACCAACTGACACTAGTATTGGATCCATGGGAGATAATTTCCGAGGTTTGACACACACTGGCAGTATCCTGCCGAATTCGTCGCCAGGGGTGAAATAAAAGGTCAGCGTATTTGTAAAATAGAGGCAGTTGGCCGTTCAGTTGATGCGAGTTCCAACTCGTGGAAGCATCATGCAACGCCTTTTAACCTCGCTCGTTAACCTATGCCCGCTCGTTTGAGAGAGAAAAGTTCAAGGCTTATGTGGAACGCACAGGAGGAATCTGCGACAATTGTTAGGACAAAAATGTGTGACTGATGGAGGTGCGCAGAACCTCTGCCTGCCTCAATAACTTAGATCATAATAACGGTGATTACTAAGAATACAACTTGAGCATTCTACACAGAGGTTTTAAGCGCATAGTCATTGACAGTTTATCAGCATTTCATCTCAAGTTCTTTAGTATGGGATGAGGGATAGAAACGTCAGATGCGAGATCTTGCAGACGTTCAGAACCAAGCTAAAGCGCCAGCGGCTCAGGGCGGGCTAAGAATAGCGCAGCCCTGTGAATCACCCAGATATATCATGTGTATCCTGGTGCAACATTATTTTTATGTTGGCACCGGTAATGACAGGAATGTATGGACAGTTCGACAATGCCTTCATGGAGCTTGATCTCCTTCAATTGTCAAGTTTCTACCCTCTCAAGTTTCTCAAGTCAACTTCAAAACTTCTGACGAGGAAACCTGCTTAGTGATGAAACTTACCTTCAATTGACGTCAATCTTATAACAATTATAGGAAATTTTGTGCATCGGTAGTCTAGTAATCCTCTCGAATTAGTGCGTAATGAGTTAGACATTTTATGAAGAAGTTGGAATAAATACACAATGTGGAAGAGAAAAATCATTTTAAATGATTATTTTATTTTTTATGTTATTTTATTGACACTCAAGATTGCACTCATTGTTAAAATTACATTCTGACTTATGAATAAAAAAAAATGGAACCAAAATAAACAAATAAAATTTTGAAGCTTAGCAACAAAAATAGAGGAACAAATTTTCAAGTCTTTGAACAATTAGACGTAACAATTTTCATGTTCATAGATTACTTCAAATGGTTTCTAACTGGAATTACCAATTATTTTTTTTCTAATTCGTTTTTCTGTATTCATATGTGGACAAGTAATTACGTACAACGAAGGCATCATGATTGTTTAAGGTTTTTAAACGTCTACTTTTTTAGGTAATTTCTGTTAACCAGAAATTACTGAACAATTCTGTTCTTTGTTCCTGCAATCTTCCCAAACTAATGCACTGCTAACCGAACTTGATATAAAACGCTTTTAAATAAGCTGCAATTCTGCAAGATTACAAAGTCAAATCCGCCATCGAATAAATACAATGTTGCTGCGAAATATTCTTTTCCGAGTATCCGAGTGCTTGTATAGTCAACAAACACTCGGAGAAGAGAGGGAAATTTCGTCCTATTAGCTAGGCACTTTTCGCCCCTGCGTGGATCATATGGACTCAGTTTGGCTTTCTGCACGTGCCGTTCGTAAACAAGTAGGTCGTTATTTGGACAATATGAACCATTCTTTTTCTGAGTGTACAATCATATCTTTTAGAGCGACAACGGAAACGAAGTACCAACAGTAGCAAAGGTTAGTCATTATAAATGGCAATGCATGCCCATCAATATCAATTTGTGTTCTACAGCCTGAGTTAGTACGACACTTTTCGCAGTTGCGTATTCCCTCATCATGAACGATCCGAACCTCATGACCACTCACTCAAGTTTTAACAGAGGTTTTAACCTCTGTTAGGTGTAAACCTCTGTATAGGTGTAAAGCAGCATCGTTAGTCGTTAAGAAAAGTGGAATGTATCCTCACTTATAGGCACAACTGAATTTTTAAAGACTGAACTTCATTAGTTTTGCAGCCATGGTAGGATTATTTGAGTCAGGAGTCCATTTTTCAGTCATGAATCCATTTTCAAAGTAATATAAAATAATTTTCCAGACAAATTTTGCGCTGTGAACTTTTAGAGGCTGCCAGATGCTCGATCACCTATGGGAAAGACGAGGTCTTCACAATACCGAGCGAGACAATAGTGAAGGATGTCGCTCGATTGCTTGAATCGCAAATTAATCAGAAATCCCATTAAAATTCCGTTTTTAAATATACATAAATTTAAATAATAACTGCAATTAAATATTTTCTCATTGAGTAAAATGTAAACCAATCAATTTTAACTTGTTAATCTAGGTCCCCCCTTCCTTTTTTCTGTGTCTTATGATTCCATCACTAAATTAAAATTTGATCAAGATAATATCTCGACACGATTGTATTTCAGGGGGTCGGGACATACGCACCAGAACAGCCTCCAAATATTTTTGATTTCCTGTCAATTCAATCCCAAAATGTCTATAGCTCCGTCACTAGTGCCTGGTGAGCGAAGAGAACTTTGCTGCTAAAATGTTGAAAAGAGAGTCAAGAGTGATAATATAAATGTATGCAAATAGTGTCGAAGAATATAAAATATTGAGCTATGTTGTTTAATTCATTTGAGCTATGTTGTTTATGGGATTCAAATTATTGACACGACAAAAATATCAAAGCTTCAACATTAGTTTTCACGTGAATTTTGTGAGTCAGATCAGAGCTGTTTAGTTTTACGCTGCTATGGACTCAACATTTTCCACAATGCATTTTATTTCTGTATCAACATTACAAAGCAAGACTGACTGGATTATTTCAATCTATGGTTTCGGCTTTTCATTTATTTTGTTGCATTGAATCTTGAATAAAACATTTTTTGCTGTAATAACTTTTGAGTGGTGTGCGTATCCACGATACCTTGCTACCCCATGTAAAGCGACGCCCCGAATTGGCCTCGCCTCAATTGCTGTGCTCTTCGGTTTTGCTGCTACTCGCGCTACAACAATAGGGCTACACTAATATGTTGAAAAAGCCAAAGAATGAGGAAAGAATGACTAATAATAATTCGGATGATGATTGTACAGCAGATGAACTACCTGATATTGATGCTGGTAACTGTTTCAAAAAATTGAAAAGAACTGAACTTGCCTGTGAAGCTCCAATGATTGAAAACCTGGAGGAACTTCCAGATGTATATTGCATGCAATCTCCATCACAATATGATCAAAAGGAAAGTCAAACTTCCAAGGCATCTGATGATCAAGTTAATAATACATCACCTGTACTGAAGCCAGAAAAGGTATCCAAGACTGATCCTCATGCATTTCCTTTGCGCAAGAAAAGATTATGTAAGCCGTGGGATGAGTACTCTGTGACCTTGCCATCAAAGTCTGATGGCAAGACCTTAATTTTTACCAGGAAACCCACCTTCAGTTTGGCAGGCTCGTCAAGAGATACAGCAGAAGAGACTTCAGCTCGGTGTTATCAGAACTACTTGTGGTGCAAAAAACGCATTGCTGACTATGACCGTAAGTTACGTGAGCAGTTCACCGACATTGACAGCGATGACAGCATTGAGCACTACAAGAGGGAAGCTGACCGTAGACGTTGGATGGATAAAAAAGCCATTCTCTCTGAGAGGATAAAGAATCTTGTGGCACTCAATGGAGGGCCTTTTGATGTTGACTTGGCTCTCAAAAATACTGATGATTCTTGTGATGATCTTCCTAGTCTGTATCCCCCTTCTTCATGTGCTGCAGTTGACACCATGAATGACTTGATGGATGAGGCATTGAATTCCTCCAAGACCGGTAGTGATGATGACATCATTGTGGAAGATAAAAGCTCATTTCGTCGTCGGGTGAAGCACACCCTGGGTTTCAAGAGACGTCCTAAGATGTGGCAGAAGAAGAGGAAGTGTGATGACACTGCAGATGTTGTTGATCTAACCAATGAGATTGACAGTAATGATGACGGTGATGTTGAAGTATTGCAGCATGACAAACCTGTTGTGGTGAGTGCAGTTTCTTCTAATAAATCCAGCATCTTATTGTGCTGCTCTTGTATATTGATTTGCAGGGAAGAGAATTTGTGAGTAGAACACTAAGACAGTATTATTCAATTTACATTTCTTAAGATATATATGCAAGTATAGTTAAAACATTTAGTGTAACATCCAGTGTTGAGTATTGTTGCATGACAGCAGCATATTCTTTGCTGAAAATATTCCTAGATTGCCTGCCTGTTCAGAAATTTTGATAATAGCTTGGAAACTATTTCCTGATATTTTTCAGTTTCATTTTTTTGTGTAGTCTCATTTTTTGGTACCTGAAGACATGAAACAAACTATTTGTTAGCCATTCATGATCATTTCTAGTTTAATTTTTGTTCATTTCATATCCTATTTTTCAGTACCTAAAGACAGAAAGCCGCCGCAAGAAGCGTCGTTCTTCATTGCGCCTGACAGAGAACAACAGCACCACAGCAGCTGCAGCTGCACAGACCATCGATCTTGTAGCCCCTGAGGCTGCCATCCAGCCCCAACCCATTGATTTCAATGACCCCAACCTGCTCTTTGGCACTCTTCTTGAACAACCTGAAAGATTTGTGGTTCCCAAACTTGATGAGAAGCAAGACTCGCCTGATTCTACCAACATCAAGGCCACAAGTGGGCCTGATTTATTAGCAGCCTCAGGACCGTTGAATAAATTATCAGGGAATTCTGATGAGGGGCATTTGTGCAGTGGATCTGGCTCTTCTAATGCTCCAAACAAAGTTGATCCTTTAATACCCAGTCATTTGTATGCTGGGCCTTCTGCTAGCAGCTTTTCATCTAATTCAACTCGAGACCCCCATAGACTTGATGATAAAAGTCCTGTGGCAATAGAGAAAATTTGGGAGATGTTGAATATTCCTGATGAAGATATGCAGACTGTTCGATTGCATCATCAGGCTTCTAGCAGTGGCTCTCTCCCTGTACCAGACTCTGTGTGTCTTCCTAATTGTGAGTGATATGCTCTTGCTCCTTTATACAAGAGTATAAACTTGTCTGTCATTCACTTGTTAGATTACTGAACTCGTTACTGCTTTTCAGCCTAGAATTCTATACAAGGTTTTTTATTGGTGACTTTCTGGTATTTAGTATAGTATTGTCTTGGTTGCATATATACCCAAAGCAATTAATTAAGTTATATGAATATTTGTTTCAGATGAGAATATTCGGAATAGGAATACTTATTTCAATTAATGTTTATTTTTTCAGATGGTCGCTCCGCCTCTCCACCCTCTCCCTACCGCACTGCTCCTCCTCCTGGCTGCTGCCCTGACAATGACAGCTTGCATGACTCAGTCACCAGACCTCTTAACCTAAAGAGCGGCCCTGGTGCTCTTGTGAGTGGGGCTGCAATCGACAACTCTGACATGCATATCAGCAACAACACAACTACAAGCTCTTCCCAGGGTCCTCATGGTGACATTTCACAAGGTGCTGTACAGACACGCTCACTGATCAACCACGCTGCTCAGCCCAATAAGGTCGACATGGGCCACAGGCCTTTCCTGCAACCTAATAGGTTTGGACCCTCACAGTCATCATCTAATCCCTTTGGTATTGGGCCCTCCACGTTCCTTCCCATAAACCGGCCTACTTGTTCTGGTCGGGAGCCTTTGACCGGTGCAAGTACCAGCGGTTCGCAAGATGATTTTCTCTCTCGTTTCTCTAGCTCTGCGTCCCGCTCATGCAATGGTCTCCAACGTGCTCCCTCAGGTCCAATCTTCCCTTCAACCAGCGCTTCTTTTATCGGCCCTCTCGTCAATCCTTTCCTTAGTAAACGACCAATAATGAACGGCTCGCAACCTGAGCTTCCTTCTGGGAGGATTGAGCCTTCCTTGACAGGCAGGAATCAAACGTTTCCTAGCATGCCTCCTTCACAGGCCTGCACCCGCGTGATGCGCTCTGCGTCCATCCCTTCTAATCCTTTGCATCCCGTGCCTTGGGTTCGAATGTTCAGAGAAAACGACCCTGTCCCTTCCAGCGCTTTCTCTAATCCCATGGGCGCTGCGGCTGGAGCATCAATTCCCTTGCCTCCATCGGTCACCACTCAGTGCGCAAGTGCAAGTGTGTTTCCCTTTAGCGGTAGCACGCGGCCTTATGTTTCATCTAGTCTTATGTCCATGAATATGCAAGGCTCATCTTCCATTGCAAACCCGACGGCTGCTGGTGTTGCAGGTCCTTCTAATAATAACTCGGCACAAAATGATCTACGTCGTGATGTCTCTGGCCCACCAACGGCTGCCGGCACCAGCACAAATAATTCTAGCCGAACTTCGTTAGCATCTGCTCGAGGTGCTAACGATGTCATGGTTCTAGGAGAGGATGATGACATGAATGTTGTCAACATTTCAACGCCAGCGGAAGAAGAAGATGATGAACCTGAGTCTGAGGAAGCCAGTACAGAACCTTCTTCCCCTGACGATACTGAGCGAAGCTCCCGCAGTGACAAGCCAACATCTGCCGCTCCTCCTGCTCCTGCAAAGTCCAAAGCTTCGTCGTCTTCAGGGAATGACTTTGAGATATCATGTCCAATATGCTGCGATACTTTGATGGACATTAAGGAACGTCGTGGGCACCTCGTGTCGACCGTTTGTGGTCACCTCTTCTGTGAGGTGTGTCTGGACGCGGCCGTTCGCCGCACCAAGCAATGTCCTACTTGTCGGCGTCGTCTCACCAAACGCCAATTCCATAAACTTTTCATTTAATCAGTCATTTGAATCCTATCGAAACCAGTCATTAATGGTGGAACTTGTTGTCAATCCTGATATACAAAAGCAAGTGAAGAGGATGGAATTCCGACTCATCCGTTCTACCATGCCCTCACTTAATTGGCATTTCATTCGATAATAGATCGATTTAACATCAAGTTTGACGAAATTACGTCTGTGTCTTCAGATTTTCAACGTGTGGTGCGTGTGATATTACCTTCTGATGTGCACTGTACACGGTTTGAATGATTGTCTTGAATTAACCGCTTGGGTTCTTGTGTTAATCTCATCACTTTCCATCCATGATTAATTTATTTGCCGAGTCAAGTATTGTATTCATATCAAATGATTGTATTTTAGTATTGAACTAAAATGCTAATGCTCATTTTATCGATAAAAAAATGGTGATTGTGTAGAGCCAGGAGCTCCGAAATTGTTCATACTCGCAAACAATAATGTTGATTTATAATTGTTTATTTTCTACAAATTCCATACTGATTTCTTTAAGTTTAGCTTTCCTTCAGATGGCCTTCACTTCTTGCGTCAATTTACGCTTGTGTTTAGCTGCCAGAGTTGGTTTCATAACACAAATTTCATGTCTTGTAAGTTGTTTATTCTTCTGGGTACGAGGTGACAAGGTTTCTTGTATACGTGGATTTCACCCCAGACTATGATGTTAGTCTTGGCCAAGTTTACAGTTAAAACTACGGCACATAGGAATTATGTCATACAAGTTTATGGAAAGATTTTTATATTTCAAAAGGTCATCAAGTTTTATGTATTATCTTCTTCAAATTTTTTGTTTAGCTCAGTGTTGATATAGTAGTATAGTTTAGGTACGATTGTAAAAACGTTTCTATCAGTGCTCGATTTTTTGTGTGCTTTTTCGAATGTTTTTTGTTACCGACCTATGTTACATCTAAGTTCTTTACTTTTTCTTCAATGATATTCAATCTAATTATATTATTATATGCTTAGAGGAAATGTAACAATTTATATTCTGAACGATATTTATGATCGAACCTTTTCTTATTCAAAGTGTTCAGGAATATTAAGAGTGAGATGCAACCCAGCCTCACTACGTGCCTGCTTCCAACCACAGTCTAATTACATTAAAAATAAATACTTGTGATGGAAATTTCATCTTCAAGTTGACAATTTGCGAACCATTTATTTTTTGTGAAGTTTAAACTGTATAGGCTTTTCCCATATTATTTTGTATAACTATTATGTTTTTTTTTCGTGAATGTGTACCTATAGCGTGACCAGGGCAGCTAAGGTGAGACTTCTGTAAGCCTCATGCATTATCTTAATCTTGAATAAACTCTTGTACATCCACGATGAGAAATATCTTGCTGGTACCTACCCATCACTGTCAGCTGCTGACAACTGCGTACCGACAACTGCAGGCACTGACAGCTGCCCATTTATATCTTATGTATATGTAAACTATCACTGGTTATTATTTCCCGCTATTGGAAAATGCAAGTCTCTTCTTTCGTCATCATGTACGGTTTTTTCTTGTTTGTTATTGCGGTTATTATTCATGATATTCATTATTGACTCGATTGTCAACCGTTGTTAACGCTGAACAAAATGGCTTAAAAGTTTTTTTTCTAATAATTGAGGATGCTAATAATTATAATAACTAAGTGGAGCTGTAACATTACGATCATTCTGGCTTGAGATGAAGTATTACTGCACTGTGAAGTTACCAATATAATAACAAGAATATTTCCGACCCTAATATTGTAATGTTTTTTTAGGCGATATATGTATTCAATTCGTCAACTAAGAAAACGTCGGGACAAATTTATTCGCCCATATTTGTGATTAACTGATCTGTTGTCGGCATAGGTATATGATAGGATTATATTAATTTAAATGTTGAAAATCTGTTAACATCTACACATTTGTTGTTAGCAGTTTAGTCAGCTGTCTTGAGGATGCCAGGTTATGATAAACGGTTTGATTTCTCTCTATTTGGTTTACGGAGATGATGTGATCATTCATGTCTGGATTATAGTTTTGTTCTAGTAAAATATGTTTGTTAATAAATAATGTTTTTGGTTTTCCAATTTTCTGAACCAAAAGATCAAGCGGCTTGTGAAATTCGTTTGCTTTGTACGTGAACGATTCTTGTGTTGGTCATTTGATGTATACTATTGTTATCATTTATATCATTACGATTCATGTATATCGTCTTTATGAGCTCCGTATCATTTATATCATCATGAGTTCTGTCATTTATATCATCATAAGTTCTGTCATTTATAT